ATGAGTTTTTCCAGATGAGAAAATGCGATATATTTAGCTATGCTTTACTCATATGAAACGTCCACATCAGTTCAAATGATGAGCCTATAAAGATTCTCTAGATTTTTCCCACCAAAACCATTTTTGGGTGATTTTGACCACACTGTCCTCTCAGTTATTGACCTGCATTCCTTTGAGCACTGTCAGCATATTTAGGTCATCGGCTGACCATGCAACAATCACACACACACACACACACACACACACACACACACACACACACACACACACACACACACACACACACACACACACACACACAGTCACACCTGCACTGTGATCTACCTCACTCTAATAAAAAGGCTTCTAGCCGAGGGCCTGTATTCTTGGCTTTTCTCCGCTCAGCTCTTCTTTTTAAATCTTTTTATGAGTCCATCTCTGATGCCCTCACCAAAGTATGCAGGTCAGCAGCTCCTCACTTCCCATCCCTGGCAATATCAGGTGGATATGATAAAGGGGATTAAGGGTACGTAGGTGAGAGTGGATTATTTATGAGGTCTACAGTATATCCGAATAAATCCCTGCCTCCGGGTTGCACATTTCTCAGTGATAATTATTTCTAGGAGGCCAGACTTTGCCTTCCTGCCCACCACCTGCCTCTCCTGGTACTGAGAACCAGAACACAACCTATCTTGTTTCCTTCATTACAACCTGCAATTACATTAAAAAAAACTTGAATAATGTTTAAGAATGTTGACACGGCTGGATGCTCAATATGAATGTGGGTGTTTCTCAATGTCTAGGACGCTTCCTTGGTAGGACAAGTCTTCCGAGTCACTTCCTTCAGAAGCTAGGCAAGAATCCTTCCTGGCATTCGGAGACCGAAGAATGGGACAGACGAGCAAGTGTGCAGGTGTGCGTCATATGAGAGGCCCCGTCTTACATTTTCCGCCACAGATTTTGGAAATTGGTCCGTGTGCAAAGCATTGTGGGGATTTTAAGACCGCGGAGGATACACATGTGCAGCCTCGAAATGTGTCGCTACGAAGGACGCCGGGCTCGGTAGAATTCCAAGGAGCCTGGACATTGGAACAGTCCTTCGGCGGCACTCGATGACGTATGCTTGAAATAGTGGCTCTGGAGCATCCTTCCTTGACATTGAGAAACACCCGGTGTTTGCGTCATGGGAAGAAGAGTGAAAGTCAGATTGTAAGAGTTACTTCGTCTTGGCAGTATTTCTCCACATGGGAGAATGTGTGACCCCCCTCCTTTACCATCATTTCACATCCTTCCTTATCAAGTGAGTGCAGGAGACATCAAAGTTACAAAACAGTCAAAGTTAAATATGTCTGAAGCCTTGTTAGCGTCCCATCTCTCGTATTGTGAGACATGTTGGACACATTGCATCATGTTTGCTCCGGGGGAATGAGGAAGGAGCCGTGCCCAGGCTTCACTCCTGATATCAGCGAGGAGAGGGGGTGTGAACCATGGTATTACTGTGAGCAATGTGAAAGATATCTACTGTGGTGTGAGGAGGGGGGGGGTGCAGGCCGATGATTTGTGTGGAGAAAGTTGTTTGTACACCAAACTTTGGATATGTTTTCAGGACTAACGTCTCAGCTTCACAGGATTAAGAAGCAGTGTTGTTCTAAAATTGACATCATCCTGTATTTTGGAGTTTATCCATCATGGACTTGCAAAGGTTTCCTGGTGATTCTCAGCCTGAAATCCTTTAACTAAAGTTTTAAATAAGAAGAAAGGTTTGTGATTTAAGCTCAGAGAGGTTGTCAGTCACAGAAAACTCTCATAACTCGGCTTTTCCTGGGTTTCCAAAATCCCATCACTTGTATTTTCCCCTGTGGCTCACCACAAACCTGAGTCTGCCACAAAGTAAATACATTAAACACTCAAGTGAAAACCAGTCTTTCCACCCGCAAGAAAACAATTATCTAGTGACTAATAACGACGTGATTACACAAAGGATAATTCACTAAAGGTGGGGGGCTTTACAACATGTGGTGAAATAGTTCCAATATGTGATTATTACATATCCCCCCCCCCCCCCCCTGACCACAAACATTACACTGCATCTGCAACTGAAACACTGCTGTTCTCCATCACTCACTCCCTCTCTGCCTGGACCGTGCAACCAGTAAATGAAACAAGCTTCAACAAAAGAGGGACAAATACAACTGTGAGAAAAAGAGGGCAAGAGCAGGGAGCTGTGGTGAAGTGCATGCAGGTTCAAAAATATCCTGTTTACACTCTCATTGCATTATCATAGGTCAAACACACATTCAGTGTTGGTTGTTTTAAGCATTGCTACGACACATTGACAGCAAATGAGATCAGGGCTAGAGTTTTTTCCTCAAATTACTCAAAGAAACGTTTCAGGAACAGGTATCAAAATGACAGCCATCAACAGCCAATACTATATTTACCCCCAGTACCAAAGCACAAAGACCCTTTCCTTACACAATAGATACAACAAGGCCTTACAAAGTGTTGAAATGTCATTACAAGCGTTTGACCTGCACTATAAATACCTCTCATAAGTTATTGCACCAGTAACAAATTAGGTAGGCCTACTTTATTTGTACATAAGCCAACTTTATTTACGTTTTATGTCCTTAACTTTCAGTTTGAAAGGTCCTTGAATTTGAGCCAACGGTTGACTTTATTGATTGTTTTGCGGGACTCTTTATACATCTTGACTTCAACGTGTGCACAAAAACGCAGTTATCAATGACACACCAGCACTATATTTCCAATAATAACTACACTGCTGTCTTCTTAGTCGACCAACAGTCAAATGATTTCTATTCACTATAATCGACATAAAGGAACATGCAAAAGCACCACTTTCAATACTGTGTGTACCTGCTTATAGGTTTCATGGAAATAAGTCGTCACGCATAATAATATTAAGACTAAAATAATCAATATGTTTCACTAATTGACTAATATGTAGCAGACCCAATACTTCTAATGGTTTCTCTCACTGTAATATTTCAATGTAAACATATACGGATTGTCTAAAGTGCTGAAAGTATTGAATAGTGATAAACCATGCCCTCTTAAAACGGTATATAAAATTACGCGCTACAGTTACGCACTAAATTTGGCACAGTCTTCCTCTATCTCGCCATGTCCCCTCTCCTCCCGGTATTATCCCAGTTTGATCCCAGTTTCCTCCCAGTATAATCCCAGTAGTAACCCAGCAGACTCACCCTGGAGCCCGGCTTCTGGCTTGAGACTTGCGGCAGGTAGCAGAGGACCAGAGAGAAGGAGGACAGCAGCAGAGACACCAACATGATGAAGCGTCGCTCCGAGGTCCAGAAACACGCTCCAAAATAAACTTCTACTACTTTCCTCAAAGTTATTCTTTACTTCTCCAATAAAACTATTCACATAGTGCCGCGCAGCGATGATAGGGACCATAAAGCATGACTCAGGGGTGTATCCACTGCGGGGATCAGCTGTTCATCGCGGCTGCCACAGGTTGAGTCGCGCCTGGATCCATTGCAACTTCATTTAAAAAGCAGGGGAGGGAGAAGCGGTTTGATTGACAGCTAAACTGACCAATAGGAGGTAATGGCTGGCCACGCCCCCTGTGCAGCTGCAGTGTATTATCAGCAGCAACAATGGCTGAAGTTAGATTTCAAGTTCTCCCTCCTTTCAGGGACACAAAGGTCTCCAACAGCCGAGCATCGTGTGTGTGTGTGTGTGTGTGTGTGTGTGTGTGTGTGTGTGTGTGTGTGTGTGTGTGTGTGTGTGTGTGTGTGTATACTACTGTGTGTGTGTGTGTGTGTGTGTCACTTAATCCCTCATTGATGATTTAACTTTTTTCATCTTTTTACACAAATGTAACGTTTTTATTGATTTAAATATATGTATGTATATTTTGTATTTATCTATAGGCCTATTGAGGTTAGGGTTAAGGAATCCAACATATATATTTCTGTAAACAAATAACAAAATGAAATCATATCATCAAAAAAAAATAACTTTATGATCTTGTTCGTTGGTCAAATATAATACATATAATGTAAGTACATTTCTTTACACATTGGCAGTTGTAATATTCCAGATGAAGACTTTGCTCTTAAAAAATATGATGTGCTATATATTCATATATTAGATAAACATAGTCATTACACACGTACCCATTCATAACAATAATCCAATAGAAGGATGTCATTTATAAAAGTATAACATATCGTTTAGTATACCGTAACTTCAAAACAAACTTTTACTTTTGTTACCTCAAGAACCTTTTTTAATACTTAAATGTTTAGGAAAATGATGAATACACTAGATTTTCCAAAAAATATACAGAAACATACACTACAGTGACATCTGGCGTCGTTTTTGTAAGAAATCTTCACTTCCAAATGTATGTTTCTGTATATTTTTTGGAAAATCTAGTGTATTCATCATTTTCCTNCTTATTGCTCATATTTCAAGCCATCTTTTTCCCGGCCCCTTGCTTTGGATCATTTTCATTAACCGGCCCCCATTCCAAACTAATTGAATTGCCCTGGTGTAGTTTAATGACTTTGCATACACAAAATAACTTTTTGTTAGACCAACAAACTGCTGGTTCCTTTCAGAGGTCCTGCTTTCAATGAGGAGTTGCCAGCTGTACACTTTTGAGTAATGAATGTATGGGTGATTAACTTGCTCCCTAGGAAGGCGTTAATCCTTCAACGCAGGCCGCCTGTTTCTGTTACTGCCAAGGCCAAACATTTCACAGAGCTAACCCTGTGTGAAACAGGAAATCAGTCTGGATGCCCTCCCTTCATTAGCAACACCCTAAAGGAGGGTTGAGGTCATATTTTAGGGTGGAGGCTGTTTATCGCTGGAACTGTGATGAGTGCGGTTACAAACCAAGTCACCTAAAAGCACAAACAGCATTTAATTCACACATGTACTAGGGTTTTAATGAAAACTTTAAACATATTCATCTGAGTGTTTGCATACTTTGTTTGTTACCAAGACCTTTGTTACAGTGATTATTTTCTGTCTTTTTGCAGTACCGAAAGAAGAGGCTTCGCTTCGGACGCAGCAGAATCCACGAGTGGGGTCTTTTTGCCATGGAGCCCATAGCTGCTGATGAGATGGTCATCGAGTACGTGGGTCAGAACATCCGACAGGTACGGCCTCCTGTCTGTTTCACTGTGTGTTTTGAAAGCAAACCCTTCCAGTTATCCATCTCAAGTTTCATGCAGTGATGACATTCCAGCTACAATATTAATAAAACATGCAAGCTGAACTGCGAGTGTTCTGTTTAGAAAGCTCAATCATCATTACATTATTGGCTCATTTCGTAATTGATTTGTCTATTGGCAAAAAAGAACTGTTTTGATCATCGATTAGTCATTTTTAAATATAGAAATCTTCAGATACTGCTGCTGTTGGCTCTTTTTGTGAACAACATGTTTTGTGTGTGTCCAGATGGTGGCTGACAATCGAGAGAAGCGGTACGCACAGCAGGGCATCGGGAGCAGCTACCTGTTCAGAGTGGACCACGACACCATTATTGATGCCACAAAAGTTGGCAACCTGGCAAGATTTATCAACCACTGCTGCACTGTGAGTACCGAACATCTTCAGTCCTATTCTTCCCAGTATTTACCATTTTTGAAGTTGAATTCTGTTCATTCAGCAGAGAGAGTTGATTATGTGGGTAAGAAGGGCAACGGATGCAGGGTTCTTCGAGAGCATTTTGTTTTTCTTTCATTTTATTTACAACTCTTTCTTGGAATATTTCCAAGGTACAAAAAGGTAAAAAACCAAATAGCCTAATCCTGGTACCTTCTCCAATGTAAGATACAAAAAACTTGTCGTTGTCATAGTTAACAGACTGACACATTTTAAATGTTCATTTTCAAATTCTTCTGGCACTGTTCCTCATCCTTCTCTTATTGCTTTGTTCCTCCAGCCAAACTGCTACGCCAAGGTAATCACAATAGAGTCCCAGAAAAAGATTGTGATCTACTCGAAGCAGGCCATCGCCGTCAACGAGGAGATCACCTACGACTACAAGTTCCCTCTGGAGGACAACAAGATCCCCTGCCTGTGTGGGACGGAGAACTGCCGCGGGACACTGAACTAGTGGATGTGCTTTTCTTCGTCACCTGGCAACACCCAGACCCCCACTTGATTCACCCTTTGTAGAGTGTACATCGAAAGGCCAGGCCACTCTATGAACCCACCTCCTCACATTACCCAGGAAACAGAGACACACACATTTGCACTTTCATGCCCACTTTTCATTCACGTGGCAGTTTCACAAGCCAGGGGAGAGGTTAGTGTCACCTGGCATGAGAATACTAGTTGGGGGACGTCCGCTTCTTTTGTGGGTCGATTGTTGGACTCCATTGGTTGTTATTTTTTTTTAACCAGGATGTTTCGTGTAGCCAGGCATAAAAGGTCTTTCTATTTCCAAGCCATTATCAGATTGAAGGAGCACGGTAAAACAAAACAGAAAATGCCATTATTCTATGTCTACGTCGGCTTACATAATACACATCCTGGATCACTCTTGCCGTGTCGAATCCCTCCCTGCTGCCACCCACCCATCCACACAGATCCACGCACAGACGCACAGGAATATCTGACAAATTCAGGGTTTTTAAAAGCGCTTGTTATAGGCGCACTTTTAAAATGACAAACTTCATTCAATTTGGTCTTCAGTTATGCAAGATTTCCAAGTGTGAAGATTGTTTTGGAGCTTTTTTTAAATTCAATTTCATAGTATTATATAATAATATTGCTATTACGAATGATGTTGTTATTCAGTTGCATTAGCTGTAAGTATCTTACAGTGAAATGAGCTTCAGTGTACCCAGCCCACTGTCCTTTGTTCACCAGTCAAACCCTCATGTTCTTGCTCCCCTGATTTGCCACAACCTTTCTTCTGGATGAGAGAAAAAAAACCTTTCAACTCTTGTTTTTGACCCACGTGAATCTATGTCAGTTAGGTTGTAGCTAAATTGTGTTTTATTTTTACATGGCTCCTGAATTTTTGCCTGCAGAACCAGCACAACAGGGATTTAGCCTGTGTTTATTTTTCCTTTTTTTCCCCAAAGTTAGAGCTATGTTAACAAAGTGTTGTGACGAGAACAAGAACCATGTTTGTTTGCATAATCTCTCTCTATCTGTTTATCTGCGTTCCATCAAAGCAAAGGTCAAAAGTAGGCAAACTTCGTTCTTCAGGCAATGATTACGACCAAACTCATTCAGGTCCTGTTCAAATCTGTGTTCAGTTTTTAACTTAGTCAATCTTTGTGCTACATATGTTTTTAAAAGGCACAGTTATTGGATTTGGTCAGGTCTCTTTAAATGTTTCGATTGTGAGTGTTCATCCCCCTGTTTTGAGGGCCTTTCAAGAATACATTAGTATGTATTTTATTTGGAAGTGCTGAGTGGTTCACCCCAAAGAAACATCTCTCCCTGAAAATGCATCGGCCCAATGTAAACAAGTGTCCAGCGTAGGATCTGTTTGCAGTGTAGATGGGTGGAAGGTATATATAGATACGCTCCATGGGTTTGCAATATGCCGCAGACAGCAGGATGTATATGGCCCTTGTGTTGTGTCTCTGTTTTTCACATGGCTATGGCCGTCCAAAGTTTAACTTTCATTTTAAACTTTTAACTAAAGTTTGGTTTTATTTTGTTCCCTCCCAAAAAGGAAAATGTGTAAGATATTTTGTGTTGCAATGAAAGCCTTTCATCACAAACAAACCCTCTTTACTACAGTATAAAAAGATGAAATCAAAGAAGTACATGTAAATATTGTAGAAGTGTTTGTTTCTCGTAGAAACACACTGATTTCAAGCTGTAAATATGTTGTTCCTTTTCTTCTCTCCATGAGGATGAAACATGTACATACCTTCCATTCATTTATTTTTTATTGTTTTTCCTTTTTAATTTGATTATTTTAATATTATTTGCAATATTTCTTGTATTAATGCGTTGGACCCTTTATTAATGGTGCATTAAAATATTTTTTAAATAAATGAAACCATGCTTTTCAATAACTGTGTCCTCCTACTGTTCATAGCACAAAGGTTCAGCCAGTGTTGGAGAAAAATGTAGGCAACTGTGAGTCAGTCTACATGTCAGAGAGAAGTTATGAATACATTTTGAAACACTAGGGGGTAATATGCAGTGTTCAAAAGGAAGTTGCTTGCATAGTGGAAACTACCAAGTCCCATTTCCTCACTTGAAAATGGTTCCTACCATGCACCTGCAATTTAGATGCTTCCTGTTCAGAGAAACGAGAGGAAGTGCTGAAATCTATCCAATCAGATGACGATAGGAGAGGAAGACCTGGTGAAGCTCACAGCGCAGGAGGTGGCGTGAGTAAAAAGAGGTTTCAACACATGCTTCTTTAATAATCAGTATTTTTAAGATGCATTATTTACTAGACCTGAAATAATCTCAGCTTGAAAAAACACTTCACCTGTTTTTGTTCCCCAAACTATGATAATTCTCTTCTAGGCTTATTTTTGAATAAACTGAACAGACACACAAACAAGGGAAAGGGTGGAGGGGCCCATATGCAATCACTACGTACAGTTTGAAAAAATGTGTGCGAAGCCCCTGCATGTGTACTTAAAACATAATGATTCATTCAAAAATCTGGAAATTGCATTTCAGTCAACTAATTCCCTTCCTAATACTCAATACAGTGTTTAACATGCTTAGGGACTATTACTGAATGTTTTTATTTATTCTAATATTTCAACAATTTAGACAGTTTGTATCTAAAAAACAAACAAAATTGTGGGAGGGCAGAAGGCATACTAAAGTACCCCTCCCGTTAGTCATCGCAGGACACTAATGTGATGTTATAAAAAGCATTTAGTGGCTGCAGGGAGAGCCAAGCAAAGTCTGATTAAGTGATAAAATGACATGATAACACAGTAAAGTAAACCTCCCTTTGACCGGCCTTCCTTGGTTAATATGACCTCCAAATCGGGGTGTGCAACGGCCTTGACAGTAAAGGAACCTTTAATGATTATATGGTGTTACATCAAGGTCAGCAATTATTTCAAACCACAAAGGTTAATATCAGTCAAAAGAAGCAACAGTGTACTTAGTGAAATTCAGTGGCCAGTAATTTACACATTATATATATATATATTTAGAAGCATGGTCTGCGTAACAGTCCCATCCATATTAGGCACAGTGATCGTGTGCAAACAAGATCTACAATGTGCAAACGACAGTAAATAACTTGTTTGTACACATTGTTTCCATAATGTAGGCTACTTACCGCACTCAGCTGTCACCACTGCAAGTGCATACCAACCTATGTTACACATTGACAATAAATCCTTTCCCCAGTGGATGTTTTATTAACAAAGTCAGAGACTCTGACTTTGTTAATTGGTCATTCTAGGGCAGCATTTGTTTATTAATAGGCAGTGTTGGGTGTAACGCGTTACAGTAATCAGTGCTTGAATTGAAATAAAAAAGGTGCCAGTACTCTAAATCAGCAACAAGTATTTGGCACAAAGTCATAGTATATCCTATAATGCTGGTGGGTTTGTCTCTTTACTGTATATTTTAGAAAGGCTCACTGTACTTAAACAAAATGACTCGGGGTGCATCTGAGATTAGAGGGGGTGCAGTGGTAAAGTGCTATTTTTATAAGTGGGGAGTGGACCTGACACCCTCTAGTCTAGGGGGGTCCGGGGGCATGTTCCCCCGGGAACATTTTTTTTTAAAATATTGAAGTTAGATGCATCAATCTGGTGCACTTTGAGAGCAAAATGAAGAGATATATGGATACCTCTCAACATCCATAATGAAACAACTGTAAACAGATTTACTTTTTCTTTATGGATATAAAAGAAAGTAAAGCTTGACTCCTACTGGCTGGTTAAATGACTCCTCGTCCCTGAGGCCACTACCAGTTTTTTGTGCCATTTTGCTGGATTTATTT